GGTAGAATAGAATTTGACTCTTCTCTTACGTGGAAATTAAGTAACAGGCATGACACCCAAGTACAAAATACAGCCAAATACACAAAATACAGTTGACGTGAAAGAGGATAAGGGAAGACAATGAATAGGGCTGGTAAAACACAAGCAAATCCTTAATTTGCCAATGCATCACACTTTTTTTGAATTATTTTTGTACATTTCTTTGCCGCGGGAGGTCACTGCCCTCTTTTCTCACATTTCGCGACTTTGCACTTCCCTCACTAAACCTGAAGAAAACGAGAGACTGATCGCAGTCTATACTGTCACACTGTCGTTTACATCAACAAATTACTCTGGTATTCTTGTTAATTCTCTGAACTATTCTTCAATTTACGTGTTAATTAAGAAAAAACTTTGTTTCCATTTAATTAACAATTAATGAATGAGGCTGAGTATCTTATGAAGAATTATGGAGATCGAGGAGGGTGTTATCCGTCGAGGCCGTAGGCCGAGGCGGATAACACCCTCCGAGATCTCGATAATTCTTCATATGATACGAAAGCCGAATTCAATAATTGTTTTATTATTCATTCAAAATAATTCCTAGTTTAAAAACATGGCTAAAATGTGCTTACATGCATCGATCCGTCGATGTTAAATTCATCTTCGATAGCGCACGTTTTCGTTTTTCCAGCTCCGCAAATATTCTGCAAATAGCAGATGTCGCCCTTCGAGTTGTCTTCTTGATGTTCTTGCCATGTTTTTAGCTATTTTTTCGCCTAGTTCTTGCTCTTGAAACGAGTGAAATGACCGCCATTTTTGTTTCCACAACCAAAACAACTCAACCTCGTCCCCAGGTCTTTTCGCTTAACGGTGCCTTAACCTGCACGAACGCTGCATTTTTGACGTCATTTCCTCGTTAAACACAAAATTCTTCCAAATTTGGTCATCAGTAACTGGTTATGGTGAATTAAACGTATGCTTTTAGCCAATCAGAATCGGGGAAATATTTTGAATGAATAATAAGTGGTATTAAAAAATGCATTAACCGGACCTTTTTAATGTTTCATCCTGCCTCCTCCCCGGAGGGCTACTCTATAACGTTTTACACGGGGAGGTACCTTTTTTATACAGTGAAACCTCTATTAAGCGGAAACCTTCGGGACCTTCCCAAGTGTCTGCTTAATAGATTTTTGTAAAAATTGCGCAATGTCTGTTAGCGATTAACTTTCGAAGGTTACTTTGTTTGTACTGTGATAAAGTTCCACATTGTTAAGGAAGCTAAGCAAGCTGAGCTGTACTTTGTGCAAGACTTTCGGTCTAATCTACAGTTTATTGACAGCTAAATGATTGATTCATCTTTATTAATCGACTACAGTACGCATTTCAAGGACGTAATCCAATACTACTATTGTCAATTCAGTCCTGTGTCCGCTTAGAGACGGACCATTAGAAAAGTTATGCGGGGGGGGGGGGAGGGAGGGGAATTTTCGAGCCGCAGGAATTTTTTTTAGGCCGTAGCATGAATATTTTTTAGGATTAATTGGCGTGCAAGAATTTTTTTTCATTTAATTATCCCTTGCGCGAATATTTTTTTGTACTTCGCCCGCCTACCCCCCATAAGTTTTCTAAAGGTCCGTCCCTTAATAGAGGTTATTAACAATAGAATTAGCCAAATAAAATTTATTTTAGTGTCCGCGTCCGCTTAATAGAGGCGCCCCCTGAATAGGGGTTCGTTATAAAGTGAAATATAAGACGTTAATTTCGGGACCCAGCTTAGTGTCCGCTAAATAGAGGGTATCCGCTTAATTAGGGTCCACTTAATGGAGGTTTCACTGTATATCATTTTTGACAGACAAGGAACCTCCTTCGTTTCCATCCTATTGACAAGTGGTACCCCTTTCACATCCCCTGTTAAGAACTTTGCATCCCTTTTTATAACTGCCCCCAAAATAAAAACAAAATAGTAATAATAATAATAATAATAATAAAAAATAAAATAATAATAATAAAATAAATAATAATAAATAAATAATAATAAAAAACCTTTCCCGATAATTAGAATGATAATAATAATGAGCCGCCTATTTACCATGAATAAATCGCTAAAACCACGAAGTTTTCTTGTCTCTTTCACAGTCCTAAAATGCATATGTTCGCCATTTTTGGTCCTTTAAGGACCGAAATGAACATTTTCCTACCCTTTCATATGCTCAAACTAGTACCTTTTCATGTACGTAAAGGCAAAAAAATGAACCCCTTTTTTGCGCAACCTACCCGTATACGCCATTATTGGGAGCACCCCCTCGGGCCTCCTTCAGGCTGAACGACTGTACGACTACAAAATCGTAAATTAGGGCCTATCTGCACTCAGAAGTTGTTATTTAAACAAATTTTCTCTCATCATCAACTCTTAACAAATGCGGATGGTTTTTCGCGTTTTTTCAAATTTTGTTTGAGAACAGACAATCTTCAAAGGCTCCGCGCAGAAATTTGCCTTGGGGTAAAAGCTGGAAAAAATCGAGTAAATAAACAAAAAAGTATTTTTCTTGGAAATCATTTGTTGTTAAGCCATTATTCTTTCCATTAACGATCACAAAGGTTGTCAGATGTAACGGCCTGTTCTGGAGTAAATAGTTTCCGGTGCGGATAAATCATCACCATACAATTTTGGCTTAGATGTTTCAAAGATAATTCTTAATGTGCATGTTTATGCGGATAGGCCCTTAACAACAAACACCTTCCAAATTTGGACGATACTAGCTGGCAAAAAAAATTAAAGAATGAGTCTCTAATTCATTCAAACTATTTCACGATTTCTGGAAGGCCTAATTCTTCTAACCAGCTAGCGTTGACCAAAGCTGGAGAAAATGGCGCAAGAATGATTGATGGGACAAAAGGAAAATCACGCGGTATTTAAGGGGTTTCCCCAAACCACGTATTATAAAATTGTTTTATCCTATCAGTCCTTAAACGCGTACAAAGATAGCGAGTATCGTGAAAAAGGTCTCTTCACACGGTGATATACACAGACGAAATGTCAGAGCTACAACCAGACAAAATACCACTCAACGGATGAAGACCGCTGTATCTGCTAGAATAACATCCCTTCATTCCTTGCTTATTCTTTCAGCGGGAAGGCTGGTAGATCAAAGGATGTCCACAAATTGGACAGGTGTCACTGTAAAGAGGAAAACACAAGATTGTTTATTTATAATGCATTACATTGTTAGTCATGAGATCTGTATTGCGTCCATAGTACAGACCTAAGGGCAGTTATTATTCATTCAAAACATTTTTCTATTTCTGATTGGCTCAAGTCCCACGTTAATTCTTCATAACCAGCTCGCATTAACAAAATTTGGAAGAAATTGGCGATATCAAGTAATGTGACGTCAAGAGTACAGCATCAACAAAAAAAGGGACGGCAACCGAGAAACCCTGTGGCAGAGTTTCATTATCGTAGCTTTTTGGTTGAGCTAGAAAATAGAAAAGAAAATTTCACACGCTTTGCGAAGAAAAAATAGCAGAAATTCTACCTAAAAACATAGCAAGAAAAGCAAATATTTCTTTAGCCTTAATTTCTTTAAACATTTAACTGCCTTTGACATGCTTATCCGCGGACTATTTCAATAAAGCGTTTCCAAACGCAGCAAAGAATGGATGTATGTAAAAAATAAGAGAATTTGAAAGACTTACTGGCCTCGTAGAATCCAGTCATTAGCACATGTGATGTGGAACTTATGCCCACACGGAAATACGCGGCATCTGATGGAGGGATCTATCAACTAAGAACAACACTACAATCAATATATCAGTAGGCCATGGAGCTTTTTACATTGCTACAAACAGCACAAGAAATGATAACAAAATTACAGCATGTTACAAGACATCGCGGGTAGATTACTGAGTTAATAGTCTTTCCTGGCATGGATAAGTCAATTTTATTTTCCACACAAGTTTTTAATTTGCCCTAGAAAAAAAGGAAACTTTAATTTCTCTCCTAAAGTATTAAGAAAAGAGCAAGAGGTAATGTTAAGTTGTAAGGTAAAGCAACCCAGGCATTGATAAAGCGAACGAGTCCATAATGTTAATTTATTTTTATTTATCATCTGAGCTGTTAACCTTTGGTAACCAAATCAGATCTTTTATCAATTGTTCTATTGGGTTAAAAAGGTTAAATTGTGAAGGCTGTCATCACTGACACAATTTCCAACTTACCCCCAGACAAAGACGACATTCAGCTCCTTGACACTGGTGAGCTGTCCCCTCTCGCTGCTCATAAAGACAGCTGCCGCACCACTCACAATTCACGGTGGATACCTTTATCAAAAGCAGACAGCAGCAATGACAATCAGAAAAGAGCATTGTCTAGACATTGCTGTGGCAGATTCAGATCTCTTTGAGTTGGTGGAAGGTGGGAGTTAAACCAAATTCTAAGATAATGAGAGGGCCATCCTCGGAAAAGAATTTCTCTTGGCTTTGAGAGTTCCAGTTGAGTCCAAAAATAAGGTAGAGGCCCGGGGTCCTCCCTACGATCCACCACCCCATTTCCACAAAATTTAGTAATAAACTATGCCATCTTTAACAGACTTCAATCAACTAGCAAGTGTTAACTTTTCTGTGCAGAAATTAGCTAGTCGTGAAATTGTAACAAGCCTTTTTTGCAGCAGAAAAACTTTTACTTTACTTAACGTTAATTTACGTTGACATAAATTTATTTTTTCTTACTTCACTCTACTTCAATTTACTTTACTTTACTTCACTTCTTTTAATTCACATCACACGCAGGGAAAGTGGAACTTCTGGCAGTTTTGAGATAAAAATCATAATGCTTATGGCCACTTATTTCAATCTTGGCTGCCAAAAAGCCTCTTTAGGCGCTGCAGAATCATAAATTGAACAAGATACAAAGGCACAACATCACAGACATTTCAATTAATTGGCAAACCTTTTTTCTCATCAAAGTAATGGAACCGACACTCTTATGGCACATTGAGGAGATAGAGGATCACAAGTTCTCAACTAATTGGCCATGTTCCCCTTACCCTTCTGGAATAGCGCTGAGATGTGTCTCTTTGATGCGGAACCCATGTCAATGAGCTGCCTGTGATGTCTAGAGACTCAGGAACATAATCTCTTATGGGAGCACCTCTGGTGATGTTCCCACCACCATGACATGGTTCATCAACAGGTACGTCTTCCTGGGCCACCACTTCAGCAGCAGACATAACTGCATTAGATGAGGAAAAGTGTATTGGCCACTGACGTCTGGTTCCCGATCCAAGAGCAAAATCAGTACTGGAAACAGACACAGACTGGTTCAGTATATATCCACGTGGATCATTTGTTGCATTCTCATTGTCTGCTGCACTGTTTAAATTTCCAGGTGTCAAAGTTGGGTTTTGTCCTGCGCTCTGCTCGGGATCAGAGTGATATCGATTTTGGCTATCCCTAAAGTAACCGTCAGTATAAGAAGTTCCCTGTGCTGAAATGTCAGGGGGCAATGACACATTTGTGCCAATGCTCTGATTAAGACTACCACGAAGGGACATGTCTTGGGTGTGTCTTGCCAAAAACTCATCAGTTAAACCATCACGTTCTCGATCAGTTGCAGCTGATGGTCTCCCTGCATCTGCAAGGGCATCTTGCTGTGATAAAGGAATATTTTCCGCAATGCCACCTTGGGGTTTGGATGTGTTCAATGAACATTGGTCACGTAACTGCTGTGAGCATGCAGCATTTTCATCTTGTGATCTGTTTTGAGCCTCTTGCATCTTCTTTTCCCTTCTCACTCCTCTTTTTGCAGGTCTCTGTTCCCTTATCTTCCATTCTCGGCAGTTAAGTTTTCTTTCAAACTGTCCACGTTGGTCCCTTTCCCTTGACGTTCTCTCAACGCGTCGTCCTTGAGAAAGTGATGAGTCATTTGAGCTGTCTACAGAAGAAGCACCGAACCGTGGGTCAGGGGGTTCACTTGCTATCTTCACCACCTCTGAACGACCTCTCTTGCCGACCTGCCTTGGTTTAGCACCTTCACTCACCCAGTCTCTTGCTCCCAATGGTCTATTACCAGTCACTTTTTCCTCTAGAAAGGCACCTTGCTGTAACAAAGGAGTTTCTTCCACAATTTTATTACTCTGGATGCTGGATGAAGATAATGCACCTTGGTTGTCATAATTCTTACGTAGTTGCTGAGAGCATGTAGTTCCCCCTTGTTGTGGCCAACTTCCAGCTTCGCGTACAACCCTTTCTTGTTTTCTTGTCCTTTCTTTGGCTCTCCGTTCATTGTTTTGTGCAACAAACTGATCACGTTTCGCCTCCTCCCTCAATAATGGTTTAACCAGGGAGGTCTCTTCAAACACTGAGCTCTCTGTCGACTGTTCTGAAACAGCATCAGCATTTTCTTCCTGCGATGTCCTTTTAGATTCTTGGATCTTCCTTTCCTTTTTCTCTCCTCTTTTTCCAGCTCCCTGTTCTCTTCTTATCCATTTTTGGAAGTTTATTTCCCTTTCAAACTGTCCACCTTGCTCCCTTTCGCTTGATGTTCTTTCAACATGTTGCTCTTGAGAAAGGGATGAGTCATTTGAGCTGTCTACAGAAGAAGCACCAAACTGTGGGACATGGGGTTCCCTTGGTATGTGCACTACCGCTGAGAGACCTTGCTTGCTGACCTGCTGTGATTGATAAGTTTCACTCTCCCAGTCCCTTGCCCCCAATGGTTTATTACCTGTCACTTTTGCATCTAGAAAGGCACCTTGTTGTACAAAGGACATGTCTTCCACAGTTATTTTGTCACTCTGGGTGCTGGATGAAGATGATGTACTTTGGTTGTAATAATTCTCTTGCAGTTGTTGTGAGTATGTAGTTCCCCCTTGTTGTGGCCAACTTCCAGCTTCCTTCATCTCACGTTCTTCTCTTTTTATCCTTTCTCTGACTCTCTGTTCGCTACTTCCCCCTACAACCTGTTCACGTCTCTCCTCTTCCTTCAATACTACTTGAACGAAGGACGTCTCTGAAAACTTTGGACTCTCTGTCGACTGTTCTGACGCACCAGCATTTTCTTCTTCTGATCTCCTTCCAGCATCTTGCATGTCCCTATCGTTCCCCTCGTCTCTTTTTCTAGCCGTTTGTTCTCTTGTCAACCATTCTTGGCAGGTCATTTCCGTTGACGTTCTTTCAACACGTCCTCCTTGAGGTAGTGATGAATCATTTGAGCTCTCTGCTAAAAAAGCACCAAACGGTGGAACAGGGGGTTCACTTGCTATCTGCATCACCTCTGAACGGCCTTTCTTGCTGACCTGCTTTGGTCTAGCACCTTCACTCTCCCAGTCCCTTGCCCCCAATGGTCCATTACTTGTCATTACTTGGTCCATTACCTGAGCTTTCACTGATGAAGATCTGTCACCTCTATCGTCAGCTTTGTCTCTGTAGTGTAGGGACCAGTCTTCGGATGTACGGATTTCTGCTTCCTTGCTGCCTAGCTCATCACAAAAGGGAACACTGTTTTGGACATCAATAAAGCACTTTTCTGCCTCTCTCACCATGCCAAAGGACTGCTTTAAGACGCCCAAAAAACTGCTCCAAAACATGACATCAGGATGATTTAAACTCATTCCAAGATTTAACATCACATCTATGCCTTTCTGTATTTTCTTAACAGCTGCCAAACGGAACTGTTTAAACCTCTGCAAGATCATTCCTACTTGAAAGTATGCATTAGCTGTCTTGCAAGATACCTCACCACAGGATAATTTGAAAATAGCTTCTGCTTCTTGCAAGGTTTCTTGGGCTTGCTGAAAACTTAATCCTTCTTCAGAATACAAGAAGGCAAGTTTCAAAAGAATCTCTCCTACTTCTGGATGAAAGGGACTTAGCTTCTTGAAAATTGTCAAGGCCTTGTTTAGGTACTCTGAGGCATCTTTGGCATTGCCCTTTAGCAGAATACAGGAACCCAGGACTTTCCTACACAAGGCAACTGAATGATGATTTTCTACACAATAACAAATCAAGATACCTTCAGCCTGCTTCAGTGCAGTCTCAGCATCATTAAACCTTCCGGAGCCATGCAGGAAGAGGCCCATTTGGTATAATAATGATCCATAGAGAAAACTATTTTCACCATGGACAAGAAGGAGAATACTTTGCAACTTCTTTAATAACTCGCAAGCTTCTTTGCATTGACCAGTATTGCGACAAATCTTTGCTGCCTGGATAACAGTTCTTATGAGCTCAGCATTCATGGACATCTTAAAAGCATCTGGTTTAGCCGGCAAAGTAAGAAAATGGGAGATAAAATCTTTCACTTCTTTGGCTTCAATTTTTTTATCCATTTCCTCAAGCTGGATTTTCATCAATTGCCTGCATAAAACAGCTGTAACAGCTTTGTCAGCACCTGGGATGTCAAAGTGAACAGCAGTTCTCAGAATCTTCTTCAACATTTGGTGGTTTCCAAACTCTTGTAACATATCAGCAATTCTTCCCAGCAACTTCACTGGTAGTTGAGCATAATTTGTTGTTCTCATAGAGGTGTCATCACACAAGGAAGCTGCAGAGGTAGCAAGATTAGCCGCTTCTTTGTATTTACCCAAGGTCTTCTTCAGAACTGCTTGATTCAAAGTAATTACTGCATCTTTAATATTGTCCTCATGTTGACAGTAAATCTTGGCCATATTAAAACAATCTTCGCTCTCCTCATAAAGTGCATTTTCACTGAACATTACCCCAAGGTTATTCATCAGAAGGGGAGAATTGGGATAGCATTGGTCACAATGATTTTTTATGTAGCTTTTCACCATTTCCAATGAAGTTTTGTCACCTCTGGTAAATCCAAAAGAACTTAGGACTGACATGCAGTTCACTTGGTTTAGATCGTCATCCTCAAAGCGAGTTAGAACTAGGAGCTCAGCTTGGTTATCACTCCATGGTTTCAAAATGGTCTCCTCAACATGGGAAAGCAATGATTTAAAGGCACACTTATCCTCTTGGGAAACGGCCAGGTTACCAGGAGCAGTTGGATAATTTTTAGCTCTCTCTTTTGTCCTAGTGTTTTCACATCCAACCTCAGGATGAAAAACATCCTGAAGTTTCAAAAATAGGGATTTTAATTTTTCCTCCATTGTAGGCCAACCACAAGTTTCTGTGTACCCTGAAAGTATGAAAGTATTGGAAAGTAAAATAAACAAACTAACACTGATAAACTGTACAAAATTCTACTTATCTAATTTTGTTTTAAAAGTTATATCTGTGGTTTACTTTCAAGAGGCTTATTTTCCTGTGTTTTCTCAGGTGCTTAAATCAACTGACTAAATCTGCCAATAGTAATTGGCAGGGTTTATTTGATACCATTATTTAACCCTGATGCAAACTGAAAGTGATTTAACCCATGCAAAGTGAAAGTGATTTAATTTTAACCATGCACTATAAACACAACTTGAACATAGTACACTTCATCATGCAGCATCCCAGGGAAAAGGAAAGAAGAACTCATATTTCCGTACTGTCATAATTTTTTAAATTATACATTAAAACACGTTTAATGAATGGTAAATATAAGAATTTGACTCTATCCTTTGCATTTATCGCACACTCCAACCTTCACTGTTTTGGGACAATGGAAGCCTTGCAGTTTTCACTAATTAATGTGTCATATGTCCTACAT